CTCTTCCCCGGTGACTCGGACATTGACCAGTTGTATCAAATTATCAAAGTACTCGGTAATCATTGCCGTACATTTTCTGCGTATAAGGTTTATCCAACAGAAAAAACAGTTTTGTTTTATGTAGTTAGAAATTAAAATTCCTGAAAATTAAGATCAAATCCTGTGTGTCATTTGATTCAATATAGGAACTAGGCTTGTGCATGGTGATTGGTCTTATTTTATTATTTTTGACGCTAAATAAAATCACGGCAGCCAATGAATTGTAACTAGGTGGCATGTTACAGTACGAGTGGGGTTAAAATGTAGCTGGGACCTTGAAATGCACGTGTGTTCAGGATTTGAATGTCTGTCGCAGGGAAGTTGTCCCAGCGACATCAGCAACTGGTGTCCCGCAACCCGATGTTCAAGGGTTTAAAGAGGAACACCGAAGACAGGGCGCGGTCGTTGTATAAGCTGTTCCCCAGTTGGCCCCACTTGGCGCTGGACTTCATCTCGCTGTGCCTGAGACTGGACCCGTCTCATCGACCCACGGCCTTGGAACTGATTCGGCACCCGTACTTCACGCACGACCACTTCTCAGAACGCTTCCTCCCCATTTTGAGAGCCAAGATACAGGAACAGTTTGAGGGCAACCCCCTACTACAGAAACGCCAAGTCGCCGATTTCGTGAACTCTGCAACTCGTAAATCACGCGAATGTGGGAACATTGATCCGACTGATTTCAAAGGTAATCATTTGTAACGATGACAGTATCAATGTCACTGTGGTGTATTTTAGGCTGTTCGTAGACTATAATACTAGAAGGCGAAATAAGTCTCTTCGCTTTGGTGGTGTCGCACCTTTGGGTTCTGCTGCCAGAGAGTTAGTTAATTAGTAAGCTGGATCTTAAGGAAATAGTTTGAGGACGAGAGGAAGATGGAACTGGCTCAGCAGCGTCTCCAGTTGGCTGACCGTGGTATTAGCGATTTTGAACCTTTGCGTTCTTCTCTTGGATAGTTAGTTGGGATTTTTTCTTATATTTTTTAAAATTTTAAAGCACGTTTCAGATAACGGTTGCTGAGGACAGGCCAGGCATTATCGAACGCAGTGACGGGCATTCAGATTGCATGTTAACAGATAATTTCCTGAACAGTCGAATAAATGTGAACAATTCATTTCAGACCTTACACCATTGAATTCTGTGAAGCACTTGAGCGAACATTCTGTACATGTGATTGCATCAGGTACGAGTCATCATCAGAGGAGCGTGATAGAGCCTCGATGGAAGGTCAGCCTACCGAGTGGGAATGAAAAATTTGTAAGGGAAGGCAGCCGGCGTGTCATTGCGGGCAGCAGTAAACCACATTCCACCCACAGGAAACTCAGCGACAGCTACAATGTTGGTAGCATTGCAATGGACGTGAGTGATGAACTTACTGATGGCCTCAAGATGCCCTCACAATCCAAGTTGTTGATCCCTTCCAAAGTTTACATGTCAGCGCAAGATGTCCAGCAGACAGACTTTCAGGCTTCGTCAGGGTCTCCGACGCCGTTCCAGTCCCTCGAAGGATTAGGAAGTCAGATGCCTAGTTCATCGCACGCATATCAGAGCGCAGGGAACCACTTCATGCAGTTGAACATGCAGGTTCTGCACCCATCCATCAACAACTTGAGTTTCAGTGGTGGCTCAGGCGTCGATAACAAGAGTGGCTTTGGAGGAAAGTAAGTACATCGCCGTGTTCAAAATGGTTGCGAGACGTAGCAGTGGAATTTAGGTAGACAGAGTTTTTTCTATATGGAGGATTGTCGGTAAGGTAGGCGAGGCGTTAAAGAAAAACATCCTATTCTTTGTACCCCACTGATGACGATTGCTTTTACTTCAAGATAGTTTCAACAGTTTTATGTCTTGCGATGCTTATTTAATCAGGAAGTTTCCGTGGCTTTCTAGAATGCCAGAACCTCTGAAACGATCTCCCCAGACACAAGACGGAAGGGCGAAGGAATCGTACAGCAGAGTAACCCCGGTGCGGCTGCCACCACGCACACATTTCCTGCGCCGTATAGACCACGGCTTGTTACTAGACGTTGGACAGCTGGATAAAACCGGCACTAACTCCACGCTGCTGAGTGACGAGTCCCCAACAAATGGCAAATGGGTGGGCGAAAGGAAGATGAGATTCACTCAGGCATATAACTCCTGGAAGGCTCCGAAGACTACCGGAGATAACTTCTCATTACCCAACGTTCCAGGAGGTAAAAACAAATTTTTTATTTTAACATTTATTTGCGTAAAATGGAATGATGATCGGGACGTAACTTGTCATTCTATACGACTGTCCACGTTTTTATAAAAAAATTACTATGTACGTTCCGATTAAATCTGATATTTCGTAGTATGCGGTGAGAATTTGTAGCAGTACAACTCTACCTGCAATAAATGACCATTAAGGTGAATCAGGCGTGCAGAGTGGCACATAACACATTTGGAGAATTTGTGTAATCTTCTTGTTGATGCGTTCGTGCAGTTGTCCTTAGACCGTCGTTTGTTCCAGCATCCGTAAGTCCCGCTAAGGGGTTCAAGAAGAAGCTTAACCCTGTTATGACTCATGTGGACCCAACAACAGACCCATTTGCCTCGCCCGTGAGTACCGACATTGCTAACAGACCCAAGAGATTGCTAATATGATTGCATGTTCTTAGCTGTAAAAAAATTACATCGCTTTCGATATTCCAGCTCGTATGGAAGGTGTAAAGTACAGCGTAGACGTGTTGTGTAGCAAATATATTTCTGCTTTTCAGAGAGGAAACCAGTCTCGCTCACCACCTCAAAGCCCAAAGTCCAGATTTAGTTCGAACCTGCCATTTGTATGAGATCTCGGCAATGTAACATCGCGTGTTGCTTTCTGATATTCAAGAGGACCAAAATTACTGTTGTAAGACTTTTTAAATTCTGGAGGTGCAATTCAAAGACTCTTGCATGTTATAAATAACTGGGATGATCCGCAGCCTCATTAGGTCTCTCTACTGGCTGACGTCTGCGTTATTGCTGGCATGTCAATTCGCGGCGTGTTTGTCAATATTCAGCGAGCAGTTGGATCTCTCAAGAGTAATATTTGAATTAATTTCTTAACCTGTTCTGTTTATCGGTACATTAAAATGTGGTATCGTCTTTATTTGGCAGCGACATCGCAGTGTGCCGTCAAATCGGAGTGTTACAGACGGGTACATGTAGCACATTTTCTCGAGAGGAAATTAGGCTTATATAAATGTGAATTTCCCTTTCATCAGCAAAATGAAAAAATTATGCAAGAAGTATTCGGCACTTTGTGAAAGTTACGCGGTCAGGTAAATTCATAATGAATGCTAGATTCAGGAGACGTGCAAAATCACACACGTCTCTAAGCTGAATATTTACAGATGCGCTGTTAAAAGTCTGCTGTTTTACTTTTCATAATGAATCCCTCGAGCATGAATTCCAAAATTGAAACTGTGTATGAATGTTTTTATTTACGTCTCCGCATGACCAGTGTTTCATTTGTTGCATTTTTTTAACATTTTGTTTTCAACGTAACTTTTTTTCTGTGTAAGTGCCGACACCCCAGGATGTCGTGAAGTTGGTAGAGGGGTCACATTAAAAGGTATGTAAGCTATTTTCCCTTCTCTGCCTACCACATCAGTTTTTGGATGCCCAATTATTCATTTTAATTTTAAAAATTAAATTTATTTCCACTTTGGAACTGCTGAAAAAAATTTGAGATAGGTTTCAAATTATTTTGAGTTTCCTTATCTCGTGTTTTATTTGTTTTACGTAGTAAACACCCATGTGCAGTTTCAAATTGTTTCTGTCTCCTTTGAACTGTCCCACCTGCCAGAAATGTGTATCGAAACTTACATTCTATTAAGAGTTTGTGGAATTAATTGGAAAAATTAGAGGTGTGGCTGTAATTATAATAGCTGAACTATAGTCATTAAATTATATATTTTAGTCTAGAAAACTATTTTCATAAGTAAAACAATGGTCAAAATACAGATTTGATGCAGATGATAAAATATTTTGATTACAATGTAAAGCACCAGTTACTTTGCAGATTTTCAATACTTTATACGTATACAAAATCCAGATAACGACGTTAACAGCTGTCGAGATGTTGCGCCGAGTTCTGCGGTGCCAACAGACACAAACATTATATGTTGTTACGATCATCTAAAAATAATTTTTTTATAAGTTCATTCATGCTTCGATCACACACACATTTCATGTGATATATAAGAAAATAAACAAAAGACATGCATCATAATCAGTTAAATAATTTGTTTGGTAAACAAACTTTTATCAGAGTAGTTTTGTATGTTATGGGTTCCCTGCCTGTTCACACTCGTAGAGTAAAACCCTGACTCCTAGTGTCGCAATAAGCATTCTGGAAGTACAATTAATGCCCACTAAATGTCATGTTTTCTGAAGCTGATGATTTTATAAACATATTTTCATTAGTAAGATTCCTGTTTGTTCTGCTATGCTCCCGTGTTTACAAGTATTCATGGTCTGCGTCGCCGTATTTATTTAATAATCACAAAATGCGAAGCGAGTACAATCTCACGTTAGTTTTTCCGAATAAGCGAAGATATCGGCACATGACGCGCGTCCTGAAACCAAGTAAATATAAGTATGTGTGCGGCCTATCTGAACCAGATTTCCTGAATATACATACATTTGCACTTACACTTGCTTACTTTCGACAAAGCGTTAAGCGTCTTTATATATGCCCCCGCAGCCGAGCGACAGGGTTTTACTGTTTTCCTTGTGATCCAGATCCCCCTTCCCCCCCACAAGCATTGTGACACGTTAGTGGCGATGGTGATGATACAATCACCATTGGTTCCCAAGCGTTCCCTGGAAAATGGACGGAATACCAAGGCGTGGGCACGGCTGTTGCAGGCGCTCACCTCCCAGTGTGGTGATTGGGTGCTGGCCGTGATACGTCACCATATCGCCTGAAACAGGAACAAGTCCAATCCTAACATGTATGTACGCAGGTGCACCTCGATGTGACATGTACTGACTGCATATATGTAGCTAAAAATGGTTCGTTGCCACTGACTTTCCACTGTACAGTCACACCCCCTCGCTGGTGGTCCCCCCTCCATCAGTCTCAGAAAAACTCACCAAGTGTGTCGTGTGTTATCTGCTTTGCTCCAAGGAACTGGTAGTGGCCGCTGGACGCGTCCACCAGGTAGTGTTTACATCTGTCAGTGTCCCTGTAACTGATGGCATAACCCCAGATACGCTCCGAGATTCTGACCAGGAAACTTCCCACTGGCTTGTCGTTCAGCATCGACTCCGCTTCTTGTCGCGTTATGAGTCCTGAAGGCAAATTATGTATCGAAGTACTTCGAGATTTATACGTTTAGTATTGGCAGAACAATTACTCCTATCTCCACCTGAAGGCTCTTTTTGTGTACACGAGTCTTTGGTTATTTCATCTGTCTTGGGCTCAAATATTCTCACCCTCAATCTGTACAGACGGTCCATGTTGTTCGCTCGCGGTAGGGACGATGTTTCACAAGCACGTACAACAACGGATAAAATTACAGTTTTCCATAGTTCAACATTTACGTTACATGCCGGATGAAGCTAATTATTTATACTTAACATAAATCCACGTGTATTGTCCGTCCATCTGATTCTTGAATGCCACGGCAGTTTCAGGATTTGGTGTTATCAACATTTTGGATGGCATTGTACTCGTATATAAAATGGGAGTCCCGTTATCATGGGTGCTTACCGTGAAACCAGGGAGCCAACTGATCTGAGTTGGGTTCAATACCAGCTCGACGCGAGACCTCGCTGGATCGGAACCACTCGACGACTGCTTCTTTGCTCGGAGGTTTGGCAGTCTGGAACTCTGAGTGGGCAGTAGGACCAACACTGCTACTGCTGCTGCTGTTGCTTTCCGGGCTGCAGACAGAACAGACCGAGTCAGTGTGGGCAAAGGAGGAATCTGCCACTCCAAGAACAGAGAAAATGATAATTAATACACTCGCTTGCAGTTTTTGTGGAAAGGCGATGAAGTTCTGTATTTCTTTATATATAAGGTATTCTGGTCTGTATTCTGGCAACAGTCACTTAATATCATCATTTTAATTAACATTGTCAGAAAAAATTTGTATTATGGTACCTCAGACTCATGTCATTTGAGAACCTGGTACTGTTGGTGACCTCGACTTCCATGTCCAATACTGATGTTCGGCGATGCTCCTCTCTGGCTCGACGGGCGATCTCTCTAATCTGTAGCTCTGCCTCCTTGGCCTTCTTCTCTGCAATATGACATTCAGCATTATCATCGTTACGAGGGAAACAGCGGACTGCCATATCACGCTAGATCCAGATGTTGGCAAACTGATTAGGGTTGCTGCGTGTTTACGTTTCATCTTGGAAACTACTAACTTCATCCTTCCATATCCCTACCAATTCATCACATAATCACATGTGACATCTCGTAATAAAATAAATAGAGAGCATGATGGCGTAGCAACAATCTTAGAACTTCCGCTGAGCGGAACTTGGCTTATGTGAAGAACCGTGACGCGGTGTACCTTGTTCCCTCCAGAGCTGCTCCTGTTTGTGTTCTGCTTCCTCTGCCTCTCTTGCCACCTCCATCTGCTTCTTCTGGAGGCGCTTGAAAATTTCAGACGTCCGCTCCTCCATGACGCGCTTCTCCCACAAAGCCACCCTCTGTGCTACTTTCTTTGGCTGAAGCACAAGATGTCACTTTTTAAGAAATTCCCTGACAACAGATTGTTCAATGTAGATGGGAGGATAATATTAAAATGAATCTGGAGAAACAGACTGTGGGGGGGAACTGTTGCAGTACCAAGAAATTAATCCACTGGTCAATCGGACGTTGTGGCCGAGTGCCCAACGCTCCTGATTTATATTCAGGAGGTCCTAAATTCAAATATTGGCCCAAGATTGAGGTTTATTATAGTTTTTTTCTGATTTCCTCCAGGCAAATTCTGGAACAGTGCCTTGAATTAGGCCTGAGGCATCTGAGCTGCTGTCATAAAATAAACCACAGTTAAATAAATAATCCACTGTTCAAGCCCAGCCATTTTGTACTCACTTTGTTGAGAGAGATCTCTTGCAAGGCGTCTCGCTTGTCAGGTGTGGCACTGCTGTTGGTCTTATCAAACATATTAATACTGTTTCTGACGAAGGTGCTGTTTGTGGTGGGGAATGGGTTCACTTTTTCTCGCAGTTCATCCACTGAGCAGTAGATGTCGAGCAACGCTTCATCTTCTAACTTGTCTTCTTTTCGCTGTGCAGCCTCCATTGCCTCAATCTGCTTCTGGTTGAGGTCCAGCAGTTCTGTTAGTTCTGCCTCCACGGACTTCCTGTTAAAAGCAGTAAACAGCGGTCTTAACTAAGTCACTGCTTTCTCATGTTAATTCATCTTCAATGAATGATGTATTTGTTCATTTTTAAGTATATTTAAACGAAGCAAAACTGTTCTTGCCATCAACATCCGTCGACTCCGCACCGTGAATATTTCTGGAGCATAACTCGTACTGATTTACTAATCTCGAGAGGGGTCACCTGTTCATCCCGTCTGGTGTACGTATGTGTGCCGTAGCTCACCTGAGCTGCTCTGCCTCCTTCTCGGCCTGTCGCCTTGCCGTTTCCCTGGCCTCCTGCTCGAGGATCTCCTCGATTCGTAGGTCATCAGAATGCTCGCCCATCACCCACACCCATGGCTCACCATCAGATCCCATCAAGAAGCCCACCTGTTTCTTCCTACAACCTTCATCTGTTTCTGTAATCATATAGTGCAGGCGTGGGTAGATTGGTGGTGATTCAGTAACCAGCTGCTTTTATCATTAATTTGAATGTCGTAAGTAATGAGATTTAAGGCTGTCACTTAACCGACAGATACATTTTATTGCCATTAGAAGTGAGATCAGTTTCAAACCCGGAACCGTCTGAAGCTCGAACTTTTATTATCCTAACAAGACCTAATGGGGTGTTCCTTTATTTAAAATACAGTTCATTGTATGCAGAATATGTATCTTGCTTAAGTTTTGTGGATACCTAACGAGATGAAGGTAAAATACTTTTAATTGGCTGATTGTGGCCAGACTTAGGTTTCTTCCCCCCTATTAATTCCTCCACACCGGGTGTTCCGGAATTCAAATACACATCATACCTAACCTAACATATTTAGTATTCTTTTTCAGTGATCACATAAAATCTGAAGATGATTCATAGATCATAGATGGCTTGTCTATATTATTAGTCTGAATGAATGGATTTCATTGTGATATTCATTCCATTCCTAAGGGAAAATGAGAAATATATCAAGGAAAAAAGAAAAAAATGTAAGAAAATACAGAAATAATAAGAAGACATGAAAAGGAAGGCGGAAGGAAGGAAACAGCTACTGACTGGTTGGCTTCGTAGTGCAGAGCTGTTTATTGGCCTCTTGCTGGTCCCACAGTGTCCAGCGTCGGACTTGCTCCTCTCTCATGCGGCAGAAAAGCGTTTGTTTCTGAGACTCGTCGAGCTCGGCCAGCAACTCGGGGTCCACCCACATGTCCTGCAAGATCTGCTGCAGCATCTGTCAGCAAAGAGAAAATTACAAGGTGCGAGACAAGTCTTTTTTCAGGCAGATAAAGAGCATCACTTTGTTAGAAGGTTCCAACTCATCATTCTGGTCAGAGTGATATAAAAGTGGAGACAGACAGCAGAATTCTGATTTTTTTTAAATTATGGTGAAAGCTATTTTGTAAATGTATGGGGATGATCCAGAACAGTTTAAATTAGTAGGATTGCATAAGAAGCAACTTAAATCTTGTTAAACTGTCCCAGAATTTCCTATAAGACAGAGAAAATGTATGAAAACTGATGTTGAGGTGGCAAGTTGCAGGGCCTGGATATATAGGGCTACTACTAGTGAGCAGCTACACATCCCCTTAGGTGCTAAGGTGTCCCTTTGATATTACTTTATTGAGAAGATTCATAAAATTTATGCGTGTTTTTCGAAATAAACATACATAGGCCACACACACACACACACATATATGGCATATTTAGAGATTAGGTTCATGCCCCAAAGAGGATACTTAAGTGTCTATTGAAATAAAACAACTGTTTACTGAACTAGAAAATACTGAGGAATGGGGGTAATGAAATTAAAAATGTGTCTGGTGTTAGTTTCATGAAAGTCTGTACATTTATTTAGTACACCGGTTTCTCTAATAATGCAGTTGGGTTGGCACTCTTGAAGTGAGACTTATTACGATGTTGGGGGAATTTGTACGTACAGGATACACGCCTGTATCTGACGTATTCCACACATCAAAGATATTTCACTTCGTGGGAGAGATTGTAGCTTTTTTAGGACAGTGGAAACAATCGGAATTGCGACAGAATGCCATAGAGGCCGCCTCATTAATCATCTGCAAGAAATTCAAGTCGTGAAATTTCATTTTTCACCGCCTCTGTATAACACAGATGATGCAATACACACGGCCAGAACTCAAATTCGTTTCGGTATTGTTTACTCTTTATACAGTTTCTTTTTCTATTATTATGTGACGTGAGGTACAGTTAATATCCTGTGCTGTGACCGAAATACGATTAGAACAGAACGGGCAAAGCCTGAAGTGATGAACACAGAACATAAATCAAAATTGTAGCAAAACTACTTAGAAATTACAACGTTAAAGTATCGTTCAAAATAACGAAATATACCTTTAAAAAAACTACGCCCCCCAACCGACATTTAACTGGCAGATACAACAATTGGATATACACATTAATTGCTCTGGATGTCATATAAAAACAGGTTCCGTGATTATTCATATTAGTTCTTAATTTCTCATTGTTCTGTGACATTTTAAGAAAAGTCTTAAAAGTTGCTCAGATGGACCCATGAGTCATGGATTATTTACTGTACAGGGAAATTTATGTAACAACGTGTGGTAACAAGCCATATGACGTAGGAGTCTTTTTCTTTCTGTTACCTGGCTGCTGTGTGGTTGGAAGTTCTGCTCATTTATAGTTTTATACGAAACTATAAACAAGACTGGAGCTTAGTAAAATATGAAAATAGCTTTACTTTTACAACAGTCATATACATTGAGGTTTCAGGCTTGTGTTAGTTGATGCCTGTAGGCATCCTCTGAATTTGTTGACATCTGAAAAAGGTGGGCCATGGTTTCGGTCCAAGTTTTAAGTGATTCGTTAATGGCGAAGTCAGAGGTCTCGTACGGCGTTAGATATTCGAAAGTGGAGTGTCCCTGTTGTCACGAAGACTGATTGGTGACTTATATGTGGACCAATATTACGATCTGGTGCCGTGTGATTGGTAAACTTGTGTCAATGAATGGACTACTTGGTTTTCCTGTGGATCAGTTTTGAACTGGAACACACCGGAAGCCTAAGATCAATGCAGTTCACACAACTAGCAGCAGTTATGTGAGTACCGTTATTAGGTTTGTGTATAATTGTGGTTAGTGTTGCGTATAAAAATGCTTATCACAATACTCTGGCCTCTAGCTATTACGCTCATGTCACTTGTTCAATGTTATTAAGAAATAAACTGATAGTTTAAAACGTAATATGTTTATAGGACCTGTTAATAGTTAACGTTATTATTTTAAATTATACCCCGTTAACTGTGATATCCAAATGTAGTAAAAAATGATGAAATGTATAACAGTCCGTTGGTTCGTAAAAAAACTAGAATGCAAATTACTGATAAATATTTAATTACACTGATTTAAGTACGATCTAGGTTACATTGAGAGCATTTATCTTATTTTCATCGCCGTGTTTAATGTGGCATGTCCAACTCTGTTACCTGTGTTTTTGCTCCGTTATAGTGGCACGGTGTCACGATTTTACACGATAGCAGGAAAGATGACAGACTCAATTCACAAAAGATCGTTCAAGCTCGTTCACAACTACAAATTGCAAAAAATACGTCTGATAGCGTCTCGGTTGGAAAGTAATAACTCCAGAACCGCTGAACAGATTTCCGTGAAATTTTGTATTGGGGAGTTATACAAAAATTTGTCGATACATTCAGTATCCTGGACGTAAGGCGCCATGTATTTATCGAAGCTACAGGTTTCGATGAATTTAAGTAACATTCAGGCCTACGCGTTATAAGGCCACTGACGCAAAAGATCAACATCGACGAATTCAAAGTAACCCAACCCTGCGGGAGGTGGCGTCTGTCTCTCCGCTACCATTAGACCGCCTTCAAGTTGCAGTTGGTATTCAGCCGGAAGACATTCTTGAAATTCCACAGACTCGACAAACTGGCCGGAGGAATCTGAAACATGATACCGAATTAGGACGCTGCCCTCATCCCGCGTAGTCAACCGAAGACTTTTACCTCCGTAGGGGGCACTCTTTGAGAAGCTAGCAGGTGCTCAGCTAGCCAGATAATTTCCCGCCTTAATGAAACTCTTAAGGATCGTATCATTTTCAAAAAAGATCCTATCACGTGACCACGTCCTGAGCTAAATTAATACGGGTTTACATATTTTCCTCCCATGTACGCCCTGGTTTTTCGATCGAAGTCTTGTACATATTTTTCAACTCTCGAACGTTCAGATGTCAAAGAAAGCGTTTCTTTAAAAGGCGACGTGGAATATTTCCTCTGGAATCATGCAGGCTCTGGTACAAAGGATCTTGCCAGCGTGTTAACAAAAGAAGTCTTGTTCCCACGGACGAGTTGGTTCACCTCTGTCTTCAAGGTTGCCATGGCGCCTGTATCTACTTGGTTATGCACACCTTGTCATAGCCGGAGTCATCGGGATGTTGCGGCAAACTGCTTCCCGGCTACAGGGTGCCTTAAAATGACGCTGGATGGTCTCACGAAGTAATTTAGTATTGGTTTCATTGCTTTTGGAATGTCTAAAATAGGCTAGAAATGGAACGGATGGGACTTGAGGGGGGGGCTATTTATGGATACCGTATCGACTGAATAAGCCGTTTGTGCGATAATTACGTAATTATGAAATGACCGTACAGTAGCTAGATGTGATGGAAGAGAGAATCATTTATTTAACGACGTTGTGGCGTTACCTAGCAACAAGAGAGTTCAAAAGAAAGATGTAACGTTGGCCAGTGAAGAAATGAGTCTAATAGCAAAACCAGATCCTGTCAACACATGACCGGGTGTATAATTTTTTTCTATCTGTGTTGCAGTGTCATGAACTCTAATTGAAATTGGTTCTTTATTATGTACAGTGAAGTTTGTGAGGTGGTCCTCGAGGGCTCAGGTTTTGGCCTCTCAAATATTGGTGTCGCGAAGGGACTATATAATTTTGAATCACCCTGTATAGGGACTGGTTCCGAGACGCAAGCCCGAAAGCAAATCGTAGACGAATTTATTACGACAGCTTGAAATCTGGTAATTCTTGGAACTTGTAATGTAAGCTCTTTGCATTAGCGGTGAGCGTCTTGTCATTTCGTCTTCCCGCCGCTTGCACCAACTGGCGCTGTCACGAAGATTTAACTGCGTTAGGTTAGTCGTCTGAGTTCGATGTGCCATAACATAACCTCTGTTCTATGTATATTGCGTTTTGTTCTGAAGATTTCTTCATGTCTTCAATATATTTTAAACTTCTAGCCTCTTCCTTGTATATCTACTCTGACGTTTATAAATTTTCGTATAATCACGCGATGTACGTATTGTCAGATTCAGACGAAAGCTGAGACATGTCCGTACGTCTATCTGCAGTGGAATAATTGCGGATTGAAGGTCTGGCGTGATCCCATTGTTACGCACGGAATTCAGTTCATCCGATCAGGTCTGTAATCGAAGAGGCTCTGCTCCAAGGGAAAATTCCTGGCTCCATGAAAGGTTGGCAGCGACATCGACTGTCTTTTTTTTTATATCGCAAACAAAAGAAGTACTACACACGTCACACATTCCACAGACGTTGATACTGCGGAAACAAAGGCTGTCATAAACCTCATCGCGCCACAGGGAGGTAGGAAAAATCTCAGGAAATGAGCACCAACAATGGAGATACGCTAATGTGTTTACAAGAACTCGTTAACAGAAATAAAAGTTACAGACTTTAGTTCAAAGTCGTAATATAGCAGTGTTTGTTAAGGAAAATCCGTTCAGAGTTCCATGAAACTTGGACAATGTGACTGGACAAGCTGCTTACAAACACTGCATGTCTAGACCACGTCGTATACAGGTTTGAGCCATTTTTATTAAAATATTCTGTTGAAAACTATCTTCGTCTTAATCGGAATTCGGGCGTAAGCTGATTTATTAACAGTCTTAATAATGTTTAAATCGCCATAACGTCTCTAAACAAGACGACGCGTGTCACGACAAAGCGATCAGACGTCCAACAACGATCCTTAGAATTAAAATAATAAATACGCGGTAGCCATGTTGTTATTGTCTAATGAATTTTCTCAAGAATTAGTCCAATAAAAGTTACACTCTCTGGAAAGACAAAGCTTGCGACGTCACGTGAAGAAGCTATGTCTACGCGATTGAAGGACGTGTTCGTTATGCTAACGTACGTTAAGCATGACGAGCGTTGGTGTTCGCAAGTGAAATTTTTATCTCACTTTCTATTTCATTTACAAGATTATGTATATATAATAATTATGAATAAACAGATACTCTTTTCTGTTATGACTGTTTTAGGCAGCCCTTTGAACCTCGACGCTTATCTAAATAATAATTAATAATTCAGTGCCCGTACCGCAAAGAAAACGCGTCTCCACGAAACAAATTCTCCTTTAGATGTAAATAGTCGTAAATTCCCCACCTTTTGTGGGTTAATTGTCTTCTTATTCAATATTGAATACAGAGGTATGAACACGAGACGGCGATAATCAAAGGGTTGTGTAGAAAATTCTTGCTGTGAAAATAATTAATGGCTCAGGGCTGTGAAAAGGCCGAATTCCATAACGGCACGTGACAAGAGTCGAACAAGTGTTCCGGAGGGACGCTGCCCTCAGGGTGATGGCTGATGTGGACTACTCAGAAAAACTTCCGTAAATAAATTCTGCTCAGTCAGCCCGCGAAATGTTTCCTTCCGGGATCTGACGCACGACATAGCAAATTGCAGACTGACGTCACATTTAATTTGTAAAATACATTTTTGGGCAGCCCTTACGTCTCAGTTGTTCAAGGACGTGAGCTCTGGGACACTGAACGATGTCTTGAGAAATGGATTTATCTCGCTTAGGATATGGTCCAGTGAGGGGTTGTTGACGATGTCTTGAGAAATGGATTTATCTCGTTTAGGATATGGTCCAGTGTGGGGTTGTTGAGAACACGATGAACCTTCGGATTCGGTAAAAGACATCAGAGGACTGGGTTACAGCGCCGTGTAGTCTGGTAGAAGTTACCGACGTTTCGGAGGTACGTGAAGCCTCCATCGTTAGTACCGCCTTGATGATGGAGGACAAGCTTCGGTTTCAAACTCCGACGATTGAACTGAATTTACTCTCCATGTAGATGTTCGCGATTACGTCTGCGTAAAGTACAGTCCGCGACTGTAATCTTGAGACTCGCAAGGAATGAAGGAAGTCCGTAGCGTTAAAGGCAGACGCTATCACCCCCGCAAGTCTCAAGATTACAGTCGCGAACTGTACATTTTGTGGGGTTTCGGCGGGGGCCTCAGTTCGTGTTCATTGCAAGGTCATTGCGTCGATCACCGGTCCGTGCAAAATGGAGAAAGTGAAGGGCAAGAACTCTGAGGGGGGAAACCTAGGTGTCGGGCTGCAACACAGATATCCGATCAGTCTGACGTATCCGTCCGCAGGAACATAATTTCGTGTACTGTGCTGATTTCCTTTCGCCTTGTTCACGTAGAAATTGAATCGTTTGTGAAAATGTTCAGGTGTAATTAGACAGTCGCCTGCCTTTCTACGTCCTTATTATATCTTCGGTCTGTTGTCAGCAAAACAAACTGTAGTCAACTCCCATGAGCATATTTCTGCTATCATTTGCTACATCAGCGTTTATGAACCTTTGTCTCATATCCGTTCTCGGTGGTAAACTTGTGGCAACTATATGTACCATTAACATTCAGTAACTCTGCGTTTTATATTTATGAGTTTCGTATGATTTTCAAAATGGAAAACGATTAATTTCCCAAACATTAATAAAACGCGACGTTTCGGATACTGACTGTTCCCGTCTTCAAGGCGGAGACTTATGTACATGGAGTCCGTTAGATGGAGCCAGTCTCCGAAACGTCGCGTTTTGCTGATCAACCTAGACGATGGATAAGATACAACATAAAAGATGGGTACCCAAATTAATAGAATAATGGACATCCTTTAGAGAAGCTTATTTGTTGCATACGTAGACTTATCTCCAACACTTTGCAGGGAGAATTTGAGGAGACACGCGTAATCGATCGATCGATCGAAGGAAGTTTCGCCAATCAGAGCGTGAGAGGTTGTGGTAATTTCCGTTCAAA